CCTACAGTCTCTCGGAAAACGATAATTTCTTCTTGGCCTCTTCTTTAAAATAATATCAAATTGAATATAGGTATCGGGATTACTTTTCACATGATTTCAAATTGAATTCCATGAAAATACTTTATTTTCTACATATAATTCTATTAGAACCATAAAGTACGGGAAAAGAAAGTTAATATCAGAGTATTTAAAAAAGGATGGATATTTTAGGTTAAAAAATTAGGTCCTAGTATGGGTCGGATACCTTAAGGTCAAGATCTAGTAAATGACTTTAGACTAACTTTTTGGTGCTAGATCCATTATGACGTCATAATCAATACTGAGTATTCAGCCAATATATATCTGTTATGCATTCAGATTCATTGAATCTGCTCAAGGCTATTATGGGTCGGATACCTTAAATTAACGTTATTAGCTCACCTGAACCGAAGGCTCAAGTGAGCTTTTCTGATCAAAATTTGTCCGTTGTCTGTCGTCATCGTCGTCGTCGGCGTTGTTGTCGTTGTAAACTTTTCACAATTTCATCTTCTTCTCCAGAACTACTGGGCCAATTTCAACCAAACTTGGCACAGAGTATCCTTGGGTGAAGGGGGTTCAAGTTTGTTCAAATGAAAGGCCACGCCTTCTTCCAAGGGGAGATAATCATGAATTCATGAAAAATTAATGGCATCATTTAAAAATCTTCTTCTCAAAAACCACTGTGCTTGAAAAGATGAAACTTATACGGAAGCATCCTCAGGTAGTGTAGATTCAAATTTGTTCAAATCATGACCCCCGGGGGTAGGGTGGGGCCACAATGGGCGATCCAAGTTTTACATAGGAATATATAGGAAAATTCTTTAAAAATCTTCTTCTCAAGAACAGCAAAGCCATGATTGGTCATATTTATATGGAAGCATCCTCAGGTAGTGTAGATTCAAGTTTGTTCCAATCATGACCCCCGGGGATAGGGTGGGGCCACAATGGGCGATCCAAGTTTTACATAGGAATATATAGGAAAACTCTTTAAAAATCTTCTTCTCAAGAACAGCAAAGCCATGATTGGTCATATTTATATGGAAGCATCCTCAGGCAGTGTAGATTCAAGTTTGTTCAAATCATGACCCCCGGGGGTAGGGTGGGGCCACAATGGGGGATCAAAGTTTTACATAGGAATATATAGGAAAACTCTTTAAAGATCTTCTTCTCAAGAACAGCAAAACCATGAATGGTTATATTTATGAAAGCATCCTCAGGTAGTGTAGATTCAAGTTTGTTCCAATCATGACCCCCGGGGGTAGGGTGGAGCCACAATGGGCGATCCAAGTTTTAAATAAGAATACATAGGAAAAATCTGTAAAAATCTTTTTCACAAGAACAACAAAGCCATGATTGGTCATATTTACATGGAAGCATCCTCAAGTAGTGCAGGTTCAAGTTTGTTCCAATCATGACCCCCGGGGGTAAGGTGGAGCCACAATGGGTGATCAAAGTTTTACATAAAATACATAGGAAAAATTTGTAAAAATCTTTTTCTCAAGAACAGCAAAGCCACGATTGTTTTTTTTTATGGGTGCATCCTCAGGAAGTGTAGATTCAAGTTTGTTGAAATCATGACCCCCCAGGAGTAGAGTGGGGCCACAATGGGCGATCAAAGTTTTACATAGGAATACATAGGAAAAAGCAAGCCTTTAAAAATCTTCTTCTGAAGAACAGCAAAGCAATAATTAGTCATATTTAAAGGCAAGCATCCTCAGGTAATGTAGATTCAAATTTTGTTCAAATCATGACCCCCCCCCCCCCCCAGGAGAATAGAGGGGCCATAACAGGGGATCATAGTTATACAAAGAAATACAAATGATATATCAATAAAAATTGTCTTCCTAAGAACAGCATAGCCATTATTTGTCATATTAATTCAAAAGCATCCCTTTGAAGTATAGATTCAAGTTCAAATTACCCCCCCCCCCCCCCCGAACCACTTTTATATCAAAACTTTTCAAGAATCAACTGATTTCTGCTTTTCCCTAGCCAGAGTGCTCAGGTGAGCGATGTGGCCCCTGGGCCTTTTGTATATAACATTACTCATAACGAGTACCACATTACAGTTTTTTTTTTCTTTTATTTCTTCGTCTATACTGAATGTTCAAGTGTAATAAATTATAATTAAATAAAAATTTATGAAATTCAATGAAATCAAAAGAAATTACGAAAAATAAACCGCCTAACATACTATGGGCAAACGGACTTCAGGCGAACGAGTTTTAAAGCAAACGGACTCTAGGCGAACGGCGTCAACGGCGTTCGAACGCGTTTCAGAGCGAACGAACATACATGTACATTCAAATGCAACCATATAACAGCAACCCTACTGTCTGACACGATTGAAAACGTTTCTGACATCTCAATTTTCATACATTTTAGCTTTTGAAATCCCATGCAGTTCAAATTTGCTCGTATATCGCGGTATAATAAAAACATGTCGCACCAATACGCTATGTAGTGTCAACGACCCGCAACATAAGTACCGGAATATCGATATTATTGCGCAGGAATTTGTTGTATAAAATCCCGGGCCTTGCTAGCCCCAGCCTCCACACCACCCCTTCCACCGGAAGCATATAGTAATAAGCGGTATTTCCCCGAAGAAAATCCGACAATACATTGTATGACATTGTATTTTATAATGACCAGTTTACATGTATCTTTCCTCGGATAAAATATGAGCCGTAAAACTCGGAGGGGGAGGGGGGTCCCTTTTTTTCTGAGTTTAATTAGCCTTTAGATGCCCCCCCCTTTTTGCTGTGTATTGTGGAGTATTGGTAAATTCCAGCATTTGCAGATACATATAAAAAAATATATGAGAAATGTTCAACCCCACCCCTTCCCACGAAATTGAAATTTCTAGTTTGGATTGTTTACGCTTTTTTAGGCTTGTCAGATTTCTGGGTGAGGTTTCCCCACCCCTGCTTTAAAACCGTTGCACGGGCCTGAATTATATAATATATACCGATAATACCCCCCCCCCCCTCCCAACAAAGCCCTGCAAAACTTCTGGAAAATCATATTATACTAATATTAGATTTATTTTTTATATTTATTTTTACACAAATCGAACCTTCTTATAATTCTTATCTTCTTGTGTCCAGTCCAAGTTTGGGTAGGGTGTATTATTAATAAAGTCTTGTGCAGGTATTTTTTTAAACAGATTTCATTGCATTCCTTTCTTAAGTTTTGACAGACATCAAGTCAAATCAAATCAAAACCCTTATAACATGTACATCACATTCATCAGCGTAAAAGCGCAGGACTTACTTATATAGTACCTCGACCTACGTATGAGGACGGGGAAAGAACATGTTCCTTGACTTACTATCGGTAGCTAGGATGTGATATTGGGGATTAAATAATGAAAACCAATTTATTGAGATAAAAATCGCAGTATTCTTCTAAAAATAAAGCAATCCCAATACAATAATACCATTGCAATAGTTCATCTAACACGGAATACGAAGGGGAATAGTTACATGCGTTGATCTAGAGAGGGGTGGGGATGGGGTCCGGACCCCCCACCCCCACCCCGGAATTGAAACGTATATAGTGAAGCAAATAAATGGTTTTAATACATTTTGGAAGGGAATTTAGCATTTATTTTATTATTATTATTATTTTTTTTTTTTGCTTGTCAAGATATTTTTGGGTTGGAAATTTTTTTTGACTGGGGTGGAACCCCCACCACCCCCCCACCCCCCCCCCCCCCCACCACCACCTGGAAAAAATTCCTGGATTCGCGCCTGAGTTATACATTCCCTATGCCAAACTTCCGCCAGAGTTCGTTTGTACCAAACCTCTGTGTGCGGAGACGCAGAGGACTATGGGTAGTTTGTTCCCTATGCAACGTGCATTTATTACCATTACACTTTCCAAACAAATGTGCTCCTCAAAAACTTGCACGAATGTTGTAAACTCTACTGGACAGAGGTAAATTGAATAAAAGAAATTCTAGCTGCAGGGATTACATTTAGCAATTATTCTGAAGTATTGAGTAGAAAATATTTTGCTAATAAACTCTTCTGTTCGTATGAAATATGACTTTGTCCCAAATCTAGATCTTGGGACGTAATAATTCTAATCGGGCTCGTCATTCCCTAAAAATTAAACAATGTAAACAGAAGAAAGAGAGTCAGAGTAACTCGGGAAACGTATCTACTAAAATCGTCTTAACGACCTTTAAGAGTGCCAGTAGGTTTTTATATAATGCCTTTTATTTAATTTCAAAGCACTTTTTCCCTTTTATCATTACTTCTTTTTTTCTCATGGATTTGTTCGATTTGTTTGTCTTGCGTTAACTTATGATTGCGATATTCACACGTGCAACCAGTCATGAAAAATACTACATGTAGGTACATGTTCCAAGGTACCAAGCGGTTGTTTTTTTTATTGTTTTTTTTAAATATTGTTGGACAATTATTCAGCAATAATTTAGGTATGAGTTACCCGTACATGATGACTCTTTTGCATCCATAGAACTTTTAGAAGAGGATATGTAATAATAAAAGAAATATTAATAACGATACAGATACATGTATATCACCATGTGCAGTGGGAAAGGTATCATTTCAAAAGTAATGATTATACTGGGAATCAATGTAGAGTAGCAGGTAAAAGCTGGACATTCAGATCAAAGATTTACAGGCCTACAATGAAATCTTTGGGCTCCATGATAAATGATCCTGCCAGTAGTCATATGCTTGTCTCAGAGACTAAAACATGCATATCAAACACTTGCACAGTAAAACCGTGAATGGCTCATTAAATCAGTAATGGTTCTGCACAATACACATAATGAATTGTACAGTATTGTAATTAAATTCATAAAAAAAATTATTAAAACATATTCACTTCACTGATATTCCTGTTTCTTTGTAGGTTGCTCCACAAATATGAAAAAGTAAAGGAAGAAAATTTTAACAACCATAAAAGGATGATAAACTTACTACATTTATTATCATGAAAGCGTTATGAGTACAGCATTCCCAACACAGTTAAAACCACCAGAATGTTCTCAGTGTAAGAACAGTGCAGAATACTACTGCAGGACATGTAAACAAGATTTATGTGTTCCCTGTAAGAAGGAACATGTGGTAGACTTTGACACTAAACACCATAATGTAGTGATTGACCGCTTAAAGTATGGAGACATTATAATACTAGAGACTTGTAAGAGGCACCATAACATGCTCTGTGAAATGTGGTGCCTGGTGTGTAAGCTTCCTATTTGTTCTAACTGTGTAGAGCACATAAAACATGAAACTCAGGACATAAAGGCAGTGTATAAAAATCAGCAGAAACAACATCAGGAAATAATTTTTCATGTAAAAAGTGAAATTATGCTGCATAATTACTGCATTCGGGCAGGAATCATTTCTGATTTCAGATCTTGTCAAAATGAAATCTCCAGACTCCAGAAAAATATGATTATCAAAGCTGAAAGGCTTAAGGATCAGATTAATGTCTTTGTGGAGGACATCAAAAAACTGAAATGTTACTTAAACTCTAAACAGAAAAAGCAAATGAATCACATAAGATCCATGCAAAAACATGTATACAGATCTGAACATTTGGTAAACAGAGCAACACAGTTTCTTTTATTCTTTAAGAAAACCAGTGTTTTGAGAATAAATGACACTCCAAGTACATCGATAGTAAAAGTTCATTCTGTCAAAAAGCAAATCAACAAAGATAATGTTTTTAATTGTCTTGGAGGAATTTCTATCATAGAGCCTGGAAAAAGACAAGTAAGAAATGAACAGTTATTTAAAGTGATGTCTCCACCAGTTTTAAAGAAAACTTTCACAGTGAAGCCTACATGGGTTCTAGATAATGTCAGTCGTCATATCTCTTGTATGACACCAGACATTGCCTGGGTCAGCAGTTGGAACAATTTAAACTTGACAGACACAGTGGGTGACAATATACTTTTTCTGAGGGATAAATGTAATAACAATGGTGTACACACAGTGACTAGAGAAGGCAATCTTGTGTACATAGATAGGGATTATAACATCAACACACTCTCAGACAATGAAAGTAAGTCTACAGTGATGAGAATAGCAGAACCTTGGAAACCATACTGTCTTTACTGTTCTCCATCAAATGGAGATTTTCTCATTGGGATGATGAGGCAGGATAAATATATCGCCAAGGTTGGCAGGTGCAACAGTGAAGGACAGGAACTCCAACACAACCCAGGTCAGGGACTGTATGTTAATCCCAGATATATCACAGAAAACCAAAATAGAGATGTGATTATTTCTGACTTGATTGATAATGTCTTTGACTTAGGTGTTATAGTGGTGACAGACTCTATTGGATTACATCGCTTCTCATACACAGGAAATCCACAAGCATCAGAATTTAAACCACATGGAATTTGTACAGATGCTCTGTCACACATTCTAGTTTGTGATGCTTACACCAAGACTGTACAGATGATAGACAAGGATGGTCAGTTCCTGGCATTGCTGCTGACAGAACAACAAGGGATAGAATATCCGTACAGTCTGAGCTATGATTACAGATCTCATCTTCTCTGGGCAGGATCATTAAGGAACACTACAATCTGTATATACAGACATATACAGAGACATGGATATATTAAAGGCAATTAGAGGGGGTTAAAACAGGTATATGTGCCCTACAGACTCAGACGTATCTTACAACTGGCCTCTCACAACTGTACACTAAATAATTGAATATAGGCTAAAGACTTTAGTATAACTCAAAATATTTATTATTAATGAGAGGTATGATCAAATATAAAATTAAATAGAGTAACCTATTGATGTGTTGATTATTCTTTCTTATCTTCCCATTTCATGAGACCAACCATGTCGTTGTAACATGTTTGAGATTCAGAATAAAGAAATCTCTGATTGTGATATTGTAAGTTAATGGATAAATTTGGCATTTAGAGTAAAAAAACTTAGTAGTATCTATGATGCATTTGACACATTAAATGTGACTTGACACTTACCTAAGTTGTGTGATGATAACCTGTCTCAATTTTAAACATTGATATAAATAAGGAGGGAACTTCTGTGAGATGATTGGATTAGACAAAGACACAGTAAAACACTCCTATAAGATTAGGTCTTAGAACAAAAATATGATGAAAAAGTGTTTGTCATGTTTTCTGTCAGTCTGTTTTTCTGTTCACAATTTCTTTTTACCATTCGGTCTGATTTAATGAAATTTGTTATACAAGAGAATTCTGAGTCAGTGTTTGCTCTGCTCCAAATTTGTATTGTTTCATTAGACTTTCGAGATTGAATACTGTTCGTTATCTTCATATTTCAAGTGAACTAAATTAAGAACAGATTATTCTACTTAACAGTGTTGCTATAGCTGCTTAAGAAAAAATAACGTGAAGATCTTTGAATATATTACCCTATGTATATGTGTAATATGGGGGGAATCTGAATAAAATAAATGGACACCTTTGTTTGATAAAATTTCTTTTTTTATATATACAAGGGTCGTTCAACTTGCTGCACATAAAAAAAAATAATAGCGGAGTCCGCCTAATTTTTGAAGGCCCTCTTAGTTTATGGAGTTCATCAATGCTATGCTGCATTTGAAGTTTTAATACAGTTTATTAAAGATAACCAGTGTTCAATGAATAAAGGAACGGAATATAAGTCCAATTGCAAAAATACATATATATTTTTTAAAAATTTTATTTTGTAAAGCAGTACATCATCACTTATGAAAAATGAAGCTAACAAAAGGTAAAAAAAATCTCAAATCCAGTGAATAAAACAAAGTGAACAGGGCAAAAATACTGACCCCTGGTAAAACCAGAAGTGAGAACATTTGCTTAGGAGGAGTAAGCATCTAATGTCACGTGTATTGCTCAGGTAGACGGAGTGCTTTATTGTCTGATTTAGTATAAAAGTAATGACCTAAGGAATGGTATGAAACATGTCAGAAAAATAATACCCACTAATTGGTTATATTTACAAACAAGGTCATAAGAGCGACCGTAGAATTTGCTAAAAGCTGACTGTAAACGGATTTGTTGAAATCATTGTCACATCAACTTAATTGTAAGTAGCTTGTCTCGGTTTAAGAATTAATCGTATTTAAAGCATATGCTCTTGCGTATCGAATGATTTGGAAGACATAAACAGTTGCACCATATTCAGATGATGAAATAATGCTACATAATGCTATAATAAAAAAGGAGAGTTGAATATGGAGAAGTTAATGTCATGCCATTTATCATACAGTTTAGTTATAAGTTGGCCGTTATCGTCTTTAGTCAGCAAAACATCCAAATATGAAACAGATTGGGCAGACTTTATTCTGTCTTCGCTTCGTCAGATCCCCTCCAGAAAAAAAAGTTGTGAGAACGTCAAAGTCACTGACAGTCGTTGCAAGACAGGATTAAAATAATTTTATATTCTAGTTAAGTCAGAAAAGTTAGTTTTAGAACTTTTTAGCCTATTTAGAATTAGTGACAATTACTATTGTGATCTACTTCTAAATCATGGCATTCGATGTGACACTATTCATATAGATGGTCAGCAATTTAAATCTTTAGAAAATATTTTTTATATGTTTTTTTTTTATGATTTTTTATACGGTTGAATGTATTTAGATATTGACTACTAGATGCGGGATTTTGAACCAAAGTTTCTTTCTTGATTTATTGGTGTAAAAGAATAGAATAATTCTTTTCATTTTTTCTTGAGAGTTTAGCTAACGTTAACATTAATTCACGGTATTGGCACCGGCGACACCGGGCACATGAAAGCACCGTACACCTGGTCGCACCAAGCACCAAGTAGCACCGAGTGCAGATTCAGATCTTGAATCATTTTAAGTTGCAAAGGTCAATATTGATAGTTGGCATTAGCACAAGAATATAACAAGTTTAGCTTTTCCATCTATGCATAAGAAAAGCGGGGACATTTTGTGGGTTTAGAATTCGAATGAGTTTGGATTTCAGATAGAGTCCTTGGGCCCGTTTTACAAAAGAACTTACGACTAAGACCAAAAAGTTTAGTTAATTGTAAAATATTGCAAAATTTATGATTCTGCTAGAAATTGCTAGCATAAAAATGTCTTGATAATTTCTTTTTAAAAAGATTAAAACCATTTTCAAATAAGTGCAAATTAAAAAGTAACAAGCAGATTTGCAGAATTATATTTTGGTATTAGTCGTAGGTTCTTTTACCAATATGGCTATCGGTTGCAATCGGTGCGGGACCCTGATCATAGTGTCACGTTCCAGAGTGTGCCTGAATAGTAGAACCTAGTGAAAGCGGAGTACTCTGTAGCACTATATAGCAAGAACACCGAGTAGCACCTAACACCGAGAAGTAGCACCTAACGTCGAGAAGTAGCACCTAACGTCTAGAAGTAGAAATAGCCATTGTTAATTGACAATGCGTCGTCGATATATCTAAATGTCGAGTTTAAGGCCACAGCAAGTGTTTTCTTCTTTTCACGTACAAATTGGACAAATTCTGCTTCATATGAATACAAAAAAAGGTCTGCTAATAACGGGGCGCAATTGGTACCCATGGGAATTCCAATACATTGTTGGAAGACCTGGTCTCCAAAAACCACATAGATATTGTCAATCAGAAACTCAAGCATCTTTTTAATGTCAACTTCAGAGTACTTGTGTGTACAATCAGAATGTTTTTTAACAAAATAATTTTGCAAATGACCAATATTTACGAGTTTAATTTTTATTGAAAAATTAAGCAGCTGTCAATGATATCAAAAAGCCTGGACTTTAATTTATCGTGGGGAATGGTTGTGTATAAAGTTGAAAAGTCGTAAGTTTTTAAGCTGTTGATTTTGGTAAAATCTTGTGATTTCAAATTTTCCAAAAGTTCCTTGGAATTTTTAAGTATCCACATCTGATTTACACCATTTCTCGAATATATTGTTGCACAGTACTCTTGAAGTTTCTCCTTCACCACTGTTAATATCTTAATGAGGAGTAAAGACAGAGGCTTGGTTGAACATTTACTGGAACCCGCTATGTATCTTTGTTTGTAAGGATTTTTATGAAGTTTCGGAATCCAATATAAATATGGTAATTCGAATTCATTTTGGTTGTTTGGAATATTAAAAATATTCAAAACTGACATATGATTTTGAAGAATTTCTTCCTTAGAAAGGGAACTATGAGTATAAGTTGGATTACCACTTGTAGAATTAAATCCAAGTTCCTCTAAAGTACATGTAACCGGTTCTTGTAGAAATTAAAAAATGACTGCAAGATGGTATATAGGATTGGATTCTTAGTATTTATTCCGTGGAGATATATAGTTGATTTCAAGATGAATTAAATGTTTTAAATCAACCCTAAAATAACAATAACAACATATAAATACATAGACAACATATAAACAAGCACATTCACTTTACAACACAAAACGATCACAATTTAAACACATAAAACATTCATTTAGGCCATTACTTTACACTTTATATAAACGCATTCAAAGGGCGATAACTCTTTGAAACTCTTACTGAATTAATGATGTAAATTATATTTCTCTATACTGAAATATTTACAATACTTTAAAAATATGAGTTTAACATACCAGTGTATGGAACTGAGTGATTTATCTCTTGATCAGGATGACTTTAAAAAGTTATTACATGATGACCTAATGGATTAATAAATTATAAAATCATAATAATTCAAACCCAGATCTTAATCCAAAGATCTACATGAATTAGATTAAAAACATATAACTTGCTCTTACTTTACAATATCGATCTTAATTTTAATAACTTTAGAACTTTCACTCTAGCACATTCATACTCATTTAGCAAGTTTATATTAAAATACTTTATTTTCATTCATTATCTTTAATTTTAGTTTATGATCATTAGATGTGTTTATAAAAGGTTTACTTACAGTTTATGGGTGTTTAATATACTCCAAAATATCAAATATAAATTTTAAGCAATCACAAATCTCTAGCTACACCCTTCTCAGACAATATCTTTGAATGGAATAATAAAACAAAGGTTTCCCGCCTGAATGGACAACTTTGACCAAACAATACCAACTGACCAATAGAATGTAGGAAACAGACAATATCCTTATTTATAAATGGACTAATCCTTATATCTACCTTAACCCATAGTCTTTGGGTTAAACCATTATTTAAATAGGGATGTTTATGATTTAAACATATAAATAAATAATATATTAGTAATGCAGGCGCAGCGCTTGTATAGATGTATGGATGAATGAATGAATGATTAATTCCTGAAATAAAATATATAGCATTATTATAATTGAAATAAAATAAAACTAAGTACAACTACCACATACATTTAATATAATGAGCCTTACAGACAAAGACAATGTTGTTACCTGCTTTGTCAGCAGGGACCAGTACGTACTGATCATGTAATCTATCTAATTCTTTTTTCACTTCTGGATTATTGAATACAGAAGGATAGATGGTTTTCATATTGCCTCTCAATCTTTTAATGCGCGATTTAAACATACATCCGATACATTTAATCCATTCTGACAAAGTGTCAAGGTCTTCTTTTTCATGTTTGGCCCATCGCCTGGGGTAGTCCTCTACAGAATCCATAATTTTTATGAAATTCTTACGCCAGTTGA